AACAACAGTGCTATTCTAACACCCACAGATGCATGGCTTTAACAAACAGGGATTTATTCTCTTACGGTTTTGGAGGCTAGAAGTCTGAGTTCAAAGTGCCGGGCTCTATAGGCTGGGTGAAAGCCCCTTGACCTTGGGCTTCAGCTCTGCCTCTTGATCCCAGCCCACTGAAGCTGGAGGTTTTCTTCACTCAAACAGCTGACAAACCCAAGGTTGACAAATCAAAAGGAACAGCAGTCTCAATGTTACCAAATCACACTGCAGTCCACTGATCCAAGTCCATTTAGAGTCCCAAGATCAGCAGACAACATGGCAGCCTGCTGAAAAATGACTCAGTCACATACAGGATTCAAACAAGCCAAAAAGCTGCAGACCATTCCCGAAGCTTCTTATGTACTGGAAGCAGATCATATCCTTAAAGCAGCTGGTCAGCTGCTCATGGCAGATTCCACCATGGAGCTGATTGTCAGTTTCATCATGGGGGATAACTGCAACCACTTGCCCAGCCACTCAAAACCAGGCCCAGCCAAGTTGACATACAGCCTTAACTACTACACCTTCTGAAATTTTATTAAGCTATTTTATTAATATAATATACCTTAATGAAATTTATTTATATTATGTATATTTATGAATATACTCATAATATCCCATGTTGTAATTTTATATCTTATTATCTATTTCTTATTCTCCTTTAAATGGTTGATTACCTGAATTGTAGCATCATTTTTGCATAACCTTCATTAACCTCAACTAATGCAAATGACAGAAATAACACTTTCCATTTAAATTTACCCAGGCAAATTCTGGTCAATAATCATCTGCTGCATAAACAACCACAACCTGAAAATAATATACTTTCCTCATGTAACTTAGGAATGGATAGCATTCACTGAAACATCCTTAACCCACAACACTTACCCAGCACAGCTTGGTGTTTTTGTTAATGACTTAAACCTCAAGGTGAGGTGAGGCCAGGTGTTTACCATCTGTTGTGTGATCACAATGGGAATGACTGGATGATGGAAAGATGGGGCTCATGAAAATCTATGAAATGTTGCCTTTAAAGGAATATGATGTTTGGGAAGAGAGAGAAAGGTGTACTGTGCTTTGTTCTATCTTTAGCATTTATCAGGCTTAAAGGCATTCTTAAAAATGGAAAAATTATCTTTCAACAGACTTGATTGATAAACCAAAAAGAATACAAAAGTGGAAATAGATCAAATATGGTATAAATTTTGTTTCTGAAAATTTTGCCTAAGTTCTTTGTTTTACTCTAACCCAATAGCTGTGCCAATATGACCTATGCTTTTTGAATGAACTGTAAATGATTAGTGAGTGACTAAAATAAATGAGACCACAAAAAATGTGTTTGATATTATTACCTACAGATTGCCTATCCCTCATCATAAGCAGCAGGTCTTCTGCTTTGCTGACCCTGTTTTTAAGACACATCACATTAAAGCAGATAATAAATCATAACCAGCTTTAGCATATTTTTTCCTTTGTTTTCATATAGAAACCATCATGAAAACAAAACAAAACAAAACTCTCATCTCTGTGTGAATAAATTAGGATATGGTCTTAATATGTTGCAAAGTTTAAAAAGAATGGAATCACCTTTTTAATACCTTTCTTACTTTCTGGAAAGAATACTCTCTGTGAAGAGAGTAAGAATATTTCCCTTTGGGTAACTTAACTGAAGTTTAAGCATGTGTGTTAGTGAAAAATACCAATAAGCGTTCATCTCTTCATATTCTATGGGGACAGATCTGCTCACCTCTTGATTTTCTTTTCTGCTCATAAAATTTAGGGCTACATGATCACTCATTTCCATCAGTCAAAAAAATTAATAGTTTTGCACTATGATTTTATTTTAATTATCATTATATATATTTACATATTTTATGATATTCTTATTTAGAAGATACACAACGTAATGTTTTCAGTTAGAACTTTTGTGTAAAGGATCCCTGTGGCTCAGTGGTTAAGCATTCAACTGCTAACTAAAAAGTTGGTGGTTTGAACCCACCAGCTACTGTGTGGGAGAAAGATGTGGCAGACTGCCTCCATAAAGATTACAGCCTTGGAAATGCTATGGGGTAGTTTTACTTTGTACTATAGGTTCTGTATGAGTTGGAATCAACTCGGTGGTTTATATTGCCCTTAACTATTACTTCATATATGTTCTGTATAAAATAATAAAAATTCGATTACTTAAGAGAGATATTATAATGGACTTCAAAGAATTATAGAGCTATAGAGCAGTTTTGATAAAAGTATAATTTCAAGTATACGTTATCAACTCTTATTCTGCATAAATGTTCCAGGGGAAGAAGAAAAAAACATGTTTAAAAGTCAATCTACAGTTTACTAAATAAAGTTTTAAATACATAACTAGATTGTGCAAGTAAGGATGCTGTTATGAAGAAAGGGGAAAATAAAGAATACAATTCTTATTAAAATACTAACATTTGGATTGTATTCTCCCTCATGTCACTGCCATCAAATTGAACCTAACTCATAGAGACCCCTCCTTAGGATTCTGAGGCAATATCACTACGGAAGTATATTGTCCAACTTTCCTACTGAGGAGTGTCTGGCGGGTTTGAACCGCCAGCCTTCTGCTTAGTAGTCAAATGCCTTAGGCACTATGCCATCATTAGATTATATAGGGAACTCTTATTATAGAATCCAATAATGTGCAAAGAAGAGATTATTAAATACTTACAGCAGTACTTGAATTTTTTCCTTTATTTACTTAATATCTATGTAGAATGAATGAGTTCATTATGTTATAAATATATACTTTTTTAAAGTGTAGCAATAAATATCAACATTTTTCCTATCCCCAAACCACTAATTAATTATCTTGTGGGCAGTGCTTACCATTATTTAGAATGTCAACTTTTAATGTTTTATTGTTTACAGGTTAAGTTACTGGTTTATATTGCAAATAATACTTGAATGAAAATGGAATACCAGAGCAGCTGGACTCATCAAGATGGAAATCAAGGCAGTTGGCAAAACCATCACAGCGCTGGTGAACTGGTATACAGCTATTAGAGGAGGTGCATGTTAGAGCTCCATTAAAACAGCTCTCATTGTCTGAAAGAAATAATGATCTTGGTTAAAAGGATGTCTTTTCTTTACAGTGAACTTCTTTGAATGAAACAATACAGTTTATTTTATTACTCTTCATTTATTCTAGTCTTACATAATTTTTAAAAGACAAACGTAGTTCCTTTTGAGGAAAACATAACTCAACAGATGTGTTCCATTAAGTTGAAAATTTCTTCAAAGAAGAGTGTGTCAATAGAATTATTTCCCAGATGTGCATAATGTAGTGTGTATTATAACTGTGTTATGTATGTATTATACATGATCTGTATGCATTATGAGGAGCTCTGGTGGTGTAATGCCTAAGGCATTTGACTGCTAACCAGAAGGTTGGCAATTCAAATGTACAGCTGCTCTGTGGAAGGAAGACTGGGCAATCTACGTCTGTAAAGATCTACCACCTCAGAAAGCCAAATGGAGTCACTGTCAGTTGGAATCGACTTGATGGCAATGAGTGTGGTTTGGTTTGGAGTTACTCTCTTATTGGTGGCTACCATGGGGTTTAGCCTGACTTCAATGGACTATCATATTAATTAAATAGGGATTCCATTGATCCTAAGACTGGTTGTCTAACATTTTCAAGAAAATGTCTTTACATAGCCCATCAGAAGCACTGACAACTGTAAATAGCAAACTAATCTTGCAAACCCACTGCCACCAAGTTGATTCCAACTCACAACAATGCCATGTGTTACAGAGTATGGTGCATAGGGATTTCTTGGCTGTAATCTTTATAGAATCAGATTGCCAGCTCTTTCCTCTGTGATGTCTGTGGGTGGGTTTGATCTGCCCACCTTTAGGTTAGCAGCTAATCACAAACTCTTTATGCCACCTTTGCATGCTACTGCTGATTAATTTAATCATACCTGTTTTAGCCATTGAGAAGTTCAAATTGATCATAAACTTCTGTATTTGTGTCCCTCCCTCCTATTCTCTGCTCTTTTCAGGATCACAGCTATGTATGGAGCAATGGTGTGTTTCAGATTTCTTTTACAAGTAAGAACCTCACTGGAATCACTTGTTCTAGGTCACCACCATGTTTGAAGTGTGCTGAGTCTCTTCTGTTTTCTTTTGAACATGAACTTTGTGCTTGCTTCAGGACCTGGATGCCCCAAGCCTGGTGCTTCAGACTTGATATTTATTCTCTGCTTTTATTCTGATTTTGGTCCATGCAGATGTTTTTCTTTTCTCTTAGCCCTTTTATGTGATAGCTATTCTATCTATCACTGTTACTTTGGAGCAGAAGGAATGTATCAAAGCACGAACCCACTACACTACCTTGTCAGGAAGTCTGGATAGATTTCAAAAGCACTAAATAATGATGATAGTGATAGGTACTTTTTT